TACTACTACTACTACTACGACTACGACTACGACTACTACTACCACTACTACTACGACAACTACTACTACACAGCCGCGACAAAAGTTTCTTCAATTTGCTATGATGAAGATTTCTCCCATCCCTCGCAATATTCTTAGAATGACATGATGCTGGGATCATTCGGCGGAGTAGTTTCCGATCCCGGAGACGTTAAAAACTTTGTTACCCCAAAACGGGATCGGAAACTATTCCGCGCCCCACCATATAAATTACCGAGTGGGGTGCGACTGCGCGCGGAGTAGTTTTAGTAAAACTATTCCGAACTACTCCGCACGAGCGCGTCATTCCAAAAGGCAAATTGAAAGACAATTTCGTCACGGCGATGTAGTACTAGTACTACTGCTACTACTACTACTACTACTACTACTGCTACTGCTACTACTACTACTACTACTACTTCTATAACACGACTACTACTACTACTACTACTACTACTACTACTACTTTACTACTACTACTACTACAACTACTACTACTATTACTACGACTACTACTACTACTACTACTACTACTACTACTACTACGACGACGACGACGACGACGACGACGACGACGACGACGACGACGACGACGACTACTACTACTACTACTACTCGTATGACTACGACGACGACTACTACTACTACTACTACTACTACTACTACCACTACTACTACTACTACTACCACTACTACTGCGACTAATCTTCTATTACTACGACAACTACTACTACGACTACGACTGCTACGGCTACCACTAGAGCAGTAGTAGTAGTAGTAGTAGTAGTACTACGACTACTACTACTACTACTACTACTACTACTACTACTACTACCACTAGTACTACGAGTACTGCTACTACGACTACCAGTACTATACTGTCTGTTCATGGAGTTTGTGATGCTACTATTACTGTTACGACTACTTTCGTACCATACATTCTAGTAGTAGTAGTAGTATTACTACTACTACGACCTACTACTACGTTGATTACTACTTCTTTTTTTGTATTTGATTAGTACTTCTGCTGCCACTGCTACTACCACTACGACTACTACTAGTACTTCTACTGTTGCCACTGTTATTACTGCTGCTACTGTCATTGTTACCCCCATTGCTACTGGTACTCGCAGTAGTTTCGTATTCGAAGTAGTAGTAGTCGTGGCAGTAGTAGTATTGATAATAGTAGTAGTCGTAGTAGACGTGGTAGCCATATGAACACTACCACTACTACTACTACTGCTGCTACGACTACTGCTACTACTACTACTAGGGCTACGTTTGCGCTTACGACTACGACTAGTAACCCCACTACGACGTCGACTACGACTACTGCTACTACCACGACTACTCCTACTACAACTACTACTACTACTACTACTACTACTACTGCTACTACTACTACTACTACTACTACTACTACTACTACTACTACTACTACTACTAGTACTACTACTGCTGTACTACTACTACTACTACTACTACTACTACTACTAAACTAGTACTAGTACTAGTACTACTACTACTACTTTACTAGCACTACTACTACTAACTACTAGTACTAGTACTACTACTACAACTACTACTGCTAGACTACTGCTGCTGCCGCTGCTGCTGCCGCTGGTGCTACTACTTACTACTACGACTACTACTACTCCTGCTGCTGCTACTACTACTACTACTACTACTACTACTACTACCTACTACTACTACTGCTACTACTACTACCTACTACTATTTACTACTATACTTACTACTACTACTACTCCTACTACTACTCTACTGCTACTGCTACTGCTAATGCTACTGCTACTGCTACTACTACTACTACTACTACGACGACGACGAGACGACGACGACGACGACGACGACGACGACGACGACGACGACGACGACGACGACGACTACTACTACTACTACCACCACTACTACTACTACTACTACTACTACTGCTGGTACTACTACTACTACTACCACTGCTACTACTACTACCACCACTACTACTACTACTACTACTACTACTACTACTACTACTATTACTTGCATTACTACCATACTACTACTATTTCTTTTCGTGCATTCGCTACGTCTGCACTAATGCGACTACGTCTACGACTACTACTGCCACCAGCATTACTAGTTTTACTATTACTACTACGAATATTGGTAATACATTCGCTACTACTACCACTGCTACTACTACGTCTACTACTACTACTACTACTACTACTACTACCACGACTACTAACTCTACTACTACTACTACTACTATTACTACTACTACTACTATTACTACTACTACTACGACTACAGTCCTATAACGTTTCCAACGACGGCTAGCACTTCTTTTACGACTACGACGATTACTACGACGACGACAACGACGATGACATATACTACTACTACTACGACTAGTACTACTACTGCTGCTACTACTACTAGTACTACTTCTACTACTACTACTACTACTACGACTACGAGTACTATGGTGATGACTAATAGTACTGTTAGTACCACTACGTCTGCACCTGCTACTACCACCACTACTACTACTACTACTACTACTATTACTACTACTAATGTTACTACTACGACTACTTTTAGGACGAGTACTACTTTTACTACGACGACGACGACGACGACGACGACTACTGCTACTACTACTACTACCACTACTACGACTACGACTGCTACTACTACTACTACTACTACTACTACTACTACGACTACTACTACTACTACTACTACCACTACTACTACTACTACTACTACTACTATCACTACTGCTACTACTACTAGATTCTACTACTACCACTACTACTACTACTACGACGACGACGACGACGACTACTACTCTTACTCTTACTACCTACTACTACTACTACTACTACTACTACTACTACTACTACTACTATCACTTCTACGACGACGACGGCGACGACGTTTACTAACTACTACTACTACTACTACTACTACTACTACTACGACTACTACTACTACTACTACTACTTCTTCTACTACTACGACTACTACTACTACTACTACTACTACTACTACTACTACTACTACGACTACTACTACTACTACTACTACTGCTGCTGCTGCTGCTGCTGCTGCTGCTGGCGCTGTTGCTGCTTCTGCTGCTGCTGCTTCGACTACTACCTCTTCCCTTCCTGCCTTGCCCACCCGACATTTTTGTTATACTGGGCGTTGCTTATCATTGGAAAAGGGCCACCAGGTTCTCTTACACATGTGATGCAGACAACGGCAAACAAAAAACACAGCTTCTGCAAAGAACTGACGCCATGGCCCGAATCATTCTTTTCCTGGGGAACGGGTCCTGGGGCCTCGTTCCTATCCGACCCTCCTCCTCCCCTCCCCTTCCGTCTCCTTTCCCATCCCCTCCTTGTGATCTCCTCCGAAGGCACGCACGCGTGGCAGGGCTAGGTCGTCGTCGTCGTCGTCGTCGTTGTCGTTCGTCGTCGTCGGCGCTTTCGTACGATGACGACGACGACGCCCCTTTCCCTCCTCGTCAGACATCCCACATACGACTTGCCTGGACAAGCCGTGTATCATTCCCCTGGGACCGCGAACTCCATTATCCCCCGGTTGTTCTGATCAGGGTTGGCTGGTTAGGCTCCCAGAAAGAGGGCCCCGAGAGGCCCTCTCAAAGGGTCCTGACACTCCCGGAGGGCCCCGAGGGCCCAAGGCAGAGGCGGGCCCAAGATGCCCCCCCAAGGCAGCATCAGAGTGCTCTGCTTGAGTGGCACAGGGGGTGCTCCCACGTCGTGCGCAGGCCTGCGCGAGGCGCCGTTCTCTGACGTGGCCCGACGGGTCCAGCTCGCAGGGAAAGAAACCACCTCGTCAGCATCTTCACCATCGTCTTCATTATTCATCACCATCAGCAGCATCATGTGCAGCATTTTACCATCATCGCATTCATAATCACCGTCATCAGCAGCATCAGCATCAGCAGCAGCATCACATTCATCACCATCACCATCATCATCACCACCACCATCACCATCCTCGTCATACTCATCAACACCATCATAGTTACCACCATCATCATCATCATCAGCATCATCATCATCATCATCACCGTCATAATCATCGTATTCGTCATCATCGTCACCATCATCACAATCGGCATCGTCAGCATCATCGTCATCGTCATCGTCATCACCGTCATCACCATCACCATTACAATCATCACCATCATCATCACCAGCATCGTCATCGCAATCGTTACCATCACCATCCATCATCAGCATCAGCATCAGCATCATCACTATCACCATCATCATCATCACTATCCTCATCACTATCACCATCATCATCGCCATTATCATCACCATCACCAGCACAATCATTATCATCGTCGTCGTTGTCGTCGTCATCGTTGCCCTTATACTCATCATCATGACCACCATCGTTATCACGACCATCACCATTATCATCATCAACATCATCATGTTCATTGTCATCGTCATCGCAATCCATCATCATCAGCAGCATCATCATCATCATCGTCATCATCATCATCATCACCATCATCATCAGCATCATCATCATACTCATCATACTCCTCATCCCCTTTCCTTCTTCCCACGCTGTGCCCCATCCCCCTCCTCCTTCTCCTCCTCCTCCAGAGCGTTCCGACCAGGATTTCGAGCAATCCAGAGCCGTGGCAAGAATGGAATGGTTTCTCTCTCCTCCCCTCGCCTCCTCGCCCTTCTCTTCCCTCCCCATCCTCCCCTTGCCTCTCCCCCCTTGTGCCATGCATTCCCCCACTCTCCCGTCGAGCAGGAGGAGGACGGAAGAGGCTGCGTGAACCCGCAGCGGCCGTGCGTCCGGAGGGGGGAGGGGGAGGAGGAGGAGGAGGAGGAGGAGGAGGAGGAGGAGGAGGAGGAGGAGGAGGAGGAGCGAGGAGGAGGAGGAGGAGGAGGACGGACGAGGACGACGACGAAGACGGGACGAAGGTCAGCTACTCCGAGGCGGCCGAGCTGCCCATGTCGCAGAGGCCAGGGCCGCCGATCCAGAGGGCCCCGACGCCGGCGAGGAGGAGGGGAGGAGGAGAGGAGGAGGAGGAGGAGGAGGGGGGTGGAGGAGGGGGGGAGGAGGAGGAGGAGGAGGAGGAGGAGGAGGAGGAGGAGGAGGAGAGGAGGAGGTGGAGGAGGAGGAGGGAGGAGGAGGAGGAGGAGGAGGAGGAGGAGGAGGAGGAGGAGAGGAGGAGCAGGAGGAGGAGGAGGAGGAGGAGAGGAGGAGGAGGAGGAGGAGGAGGAGGAGGAGGAGGAGGAGAGGGAGGAGGAGGAGGAGGAGGAGGAGGAGGAGGGGAGGAGGAGGCAGGAGGAGGAGGAGGAGGAGGAGGAGGAGGAGGAGGAGGAGGAGGGGAGGAGGAGGAGGAGGAGGAGGAGGAGGGGAGGAGAGGGGGAGGAGGAGGAGGAGGAAGGAGGAGGAGGAGGAGGGGAGGAGGAGGGAGGAGGAGGAGGACAGTTGCAGGAGGAGGAGGAGAGGAGAGGAGGAGGAGGGAGGAGGAGAGAGGAGGAGGAGGAGGAGACAGTGGAGGAGGAGGAGGAGGAGGAGGAGGAGGAGGAGGAGGAGGCGGAGGAGGAAAGGTGTTTGGTGGGCCTCCATGCAGGGTCCACTCTGACCTGGTGGATCCGATTTGGCACCGATTCCGCCTGGCTCGACCCGGTCCGATTTCGACGATCCTGGGCGACCTGGTGCCTGTGTTGAAGTTTTTGTGCCTCCTGCCGTGGCCGACCCGCCTCGATTCCGACTTCGGGCCCGGTGCGGCCCGGTTCGATGTATTTCTCGGGCCCGCTCCGATTTCGTGATTCCTCACTGGCTGATCCTGGCATGCGCCGCGGGAGTCCTCCAGAGAGGTCGGGGGGGCGCCGCTGGGCCTGGCATCGCTCGGACGTGTGCATGTTTTTCTCGGCGAGAACCATCGAGGACCATCCTGGACCATCGAGCAAAAAAAACACGCACGAAACCGAAAAATGCACGCGAAATGGACGTCCGAGCGATGGCAAGTGGGGTCCTCCTCCGGGAGCCAGTGGCGTCCTCGTCTGGCTTGCTCGTGCAGCGGCGGCCGGCGCGGAGTGCTCGCAGCAGCTGGGCGGCGCATCGCAGGTTGCGGCCGGGAGGGCAGATGGGTTCACCTTCCGAGGTGGCTTCGTTGTTGCCTAGGGGCTTCCGTGATGGGCTCGGGGCCCACAGGTGCTGAGCATGCCGTGGACTACTCTCGCTCGCTCGCTCGCTCTCTCTCTCTCTCTCTCTCTCTCTCTTTCTCTCTTTCTCTCTCAGTATTCCCTTCTCCCTCGCATCCCGCATCACAGGGGGGGGGGAGGGGGGGCGGCGTTCGCGTGGAGGTCCTGTCTGATGGCGCTGGCGCGGAGATTCCGCGTTGAGTTCAGACTGCCGATCGACTCTGTAATGGAACGGGTCCACCTGGAGATGCAACGCGGAATTCACGTGCAAACGTTTAAGGTAGAGATTTATATCATTGCAGAGCTGTCGTGTTCATCCGCCCCGGGAGAGCCTTAACGTGGGAACAGTCCTCATGTCAGTACGCGTGAAAAGATTTACGTGGACATTTAACGTTAGGAGCGCCTTCCGAGAAATCCGTCACGTTCGAACGGTGTGCCATCCTCGGGGTCCGCAGCAACGTCCATCGTGCGACTCTTCGGTCCAAGCACGCTTTTCTGATACGGCAGCCCCGCGAGCCATCACCAGGCCTAACCGGGCGGGGAAGCCAGCGCGCAGTTGCGCACACGGGCACAACATGCGTGACCGCCACCCTTTGGTGGAGAGCACCGCACTTCCGCCTCGGACTCTCTGGCCTCGAGGCGGGTGACATTCCCAGCAGGGCCGCGGCGATGAGCAGAGGAACAAACGCGGCTACCTCTTCTGCGCGCCGCTGCAGCAAGAGGCCGAGCCACACACACACACACCCTCACACACACACACACACTCACACCCACAACACACAATACACAACACACAACACAATACACACACACACTCACACAACACACAACACACAACACACAGCACACAACACACAACACACAACACACAACACACAACACACAACACATAACACACAACACACCACACACAACACACAACACACACAACACACAATATACAATACACAACACACAACACACAACACACAACAGACAACACACAACACAAACAACACACAACACACAACACACAACACACAACACAATACACACACACACACTCACACAACACACAACACACAACACACAGCACACAACACACAACACACAACACACAACACACAACACACAACACATAACACACAACACACCACACACAACACACAACACACACAACACACAATATACAATATACAATACACAACACACAACACACAACAGACAACACACAACACAAACAACACACAACACACAACACACAACACACAACACACAACACACAACACACACCACACAACACACAACACACAACACACAACACACAATAGACAACAGACAATACACAATACACAATACACACACACGCACGCGCACACGAACACACATACACACACACACACGGACACTCACACACGCGCGCAAGGGGCTTCTGCCGGCGCCGGCGGCAGCGGAAGGTGTTGGGCGGGGGGGTCTTGGGGAAAGGGGAGTGCGGGGGAGGGGAGGAGGAGGAGGAGGAGGAGGAGGAGGAGGAGGAGGAGGAGGAGGAGGTGGTGGAGGAGGAGGAGGAGGAGGAGGAGGGGCAGGAGGAGGAGGAGGACGAGGAGGAGGAGGAGTAGGAGGAGGAGGAGGAGCAGGAGGAGGAGCTGTGGTTTCTGACACCCCCCGTCCGATCTTTTTGTTGGCCAGTCTCCGAGCCCTCCCCAATCGATTTTTTGTTTCTCAAGCCCGCGACGGTGGACCGCGCTCCCTCCAGGCATCCGAGACGCTCCGGCTGCAGAGAGATGACATGCGTCCGCACAGCGGGAAGTGGCGGGATGGGGCGGCCTGGAGGTTGACACCAATTACTTGCCTCGAGCGTATCACTATCCTTAAGATTGACACGCCAAAAGGCGATGACAATCTTATGGATTCGCCTTCAAAAAATGAGGGAATCCCTAAGATTGGCATCGTGATGAGGAGGTGCCCAGCATAGGGATAGGGATATGTTCCAGGCGGGTAGACCAACACCAATGCCAGCGGTGTGCTTCCAACGAGGGGTGGCGATCCCGATCCCGGTGCTGGTGGTAAGGTTCGGGCTTCCTGGGTGGCCGAGAGGTTACCACCAGCACCAAGATTTGGGATCGGCCTCCCCCCGGTGGAGGCACCCCCCTTGTGTTGCGGTTGGTGCCCACTTCCAAGCCTCCTAATGATGTCCGATGTGGTGCGGGCGCCGCTGCCTTGACAAGTGAGCAATCGGTGTACTGAAAGCAGTGGCGAAGCGTCCTGGCGTGCCTATAGGCCTACGAAAAACAATGTTGTAAGAACCTCTTGTGGTTTCCACTAAATGTGCTGAGAACATTTCTGGCTGGGACTGTCTTGTTTTAACCCGTCGGGTTTATGTCCTACGGACGTTGTTTTGTTATTCGAACATTTTGGGTTCTAAGAACATGTCGTGGTAGGCCTCTAGGAATGCCGGGACGGTCGGTCCCTGCTCAAGTACTATTCTCTCTCTCCTCCCCCTCGGAGTTGTCGGGGGGATCTCCCGCCCCCTCTGCGTGCTGTCTTCTGTGGCGGAAGCGCACAGGATCTCAAACCTTGGTCTCTCCTCTGTTTGTGCTCACAGCCCACGTTTTCTCGGTGTCTCGAGGCCGTCGTCCTCGTTCTCGGCTCGACGTGCTGCTCCCGTCGTTCAGCATGGCTGTCTCTCTCGCCCTGGCGCGGGCCACGTTTCGAGATCCGAGTCCTGCTTCATCGTGGTCCCCACGGCAGTTCCCCTCCTCCGCCCTCCCCTGGTCTTGGCATCGCTCGGACGTGTTCATTTTTCTTTCGGTGAGGACCATCGAGGAGCATCCTTGATTATTTGGCGAAAAAACCACGTACGAAACCGAAAAAAACACAGGGAATGGACGTCCGAGCGATGACCAGTCCCCTGGTCCTCCTTTTTCCTCCCGCCCCTTCCGCTCCAGTTCCTGCTGCTGTGCTGCTGCTGCTGCTGCTGCTGCTGCTGTTCGTCTCGCCCCAGCGAGGGCCACTTTTCGGAGCCCGAGCCTTCCTTCCTCGTTGTCTTTCCTCTCGTTCTCCCTCCCGTTCCCCTGGTCCTCCTCTCCCTCCCGATCCTTCCGCTTTGGTTCCTGCTTCTGCTGTTCATCCTCGTCCTTTTCTTCCCGATCGTCTTCCTGCTCGCCCGCCAACTCCTCCTCCTGTGCACGCAGCTCCCCATTTTCGGATTGCGTGTATCACGAGGTGGTCTTTCTTTGTGAGTCGCAGGCCTGCTGTGGCATGCGTCCGGGGATAGAGACAAATCAGCGCCACGGGATGGGATGGGAGGGAGGGGTAGGATGTCGGATGAGGCGCGAGCGCACCTACCTTGCCAAATCATGCCCTTTCTCCTCCCTCGCTTCTCCCTCCGCCGTCGGAGCCCTCTCCCTTGGAACCCCCTGCATCCGACCACCCCGCAGGCTTCCTCCGATGCCGTGCAGACCTCCCTCCGCCCTCCTCTCTTCTCCAGTCCGCCTCCCTCTCATCCCTTTCCCCCTTTCCCCCTCGTCGATCATCCCTCCGATCCTTCGCTCCTGCCTCTTCCCGCGTCGATCCTCCGTCGCTCGTTCCTCCTCTTCTCTCCTCCTTCGATCCTCACTCCACATTTCCCCCCCTCGTTGTCCGCCCCCCGCCTCGATTGTTCCTCGTCTCTCCTCCGCACCTCGTCCTCAGCCCTCCTCCCTGGACAGAGGTGGCGAGACGAGATGAAGGACAAGCTGGCCAGGATAGACACGTCGCAGCTCTCGGCGAAGCAGAAGATGCAGTTCAAGTCCTTGATGCGCAAGCTGAATGGTGGCTTCCCTCGCTTTTTTTATCCTTCCGAGTCCTATTGCTCCTGTTCTTTTTGATCATCCGCCAACCCTTGTTCTTCTCCTCCTCCTGCTCCTCCTCCTCCTGCTCCTCCTCCTACTCCTCCTGATCTTCTTCCTCCTCCTCCTCCTCCTCCTCCTCCTGCTCCTCCTCCTGCTCTTCTCCTCCTTCTCCTTCTCCTCTTCCTCCTCCTCCGTATCTTCCTCCTTCTCCTGTGTCCTCCTTCTCCTGCTCCCCCTCGTGATGCGCAAGCCGACTGCTCACTGCCCTGATCCTCGATCTCCCCCACCGACATCCTCGCTCTCCCTCCTCCTCCTCCTCCTCCTCCTCCTCCTCCTCGCCCTCCCTTGCTTGACGACCTCCCTGGCCATTTTGCCTCGAGCCTCCGCCTCGACCCTCCGCCGCGCCGCGCTTCTCGGCCCACGGCCGCGGCGCCCCGCGGCCGCCGTGCCTTTCGGGCGCCAGGCCGTGCTTGCGCACCGCCGCCCCCCCCGCATGCGCGCAGCCGTGGCCGCCACGGCGCAGCCACGCCGCACCGAGGGTGCCGCCCGCGCACCGAGGGCGCCGCCCGCTCCCTGCGGCCCGCGCAGGCTGCCGCAGCGGCGGCGCCCGGCGGCGCCGTCGTCGCCGTCGTTGTCGTCGTCGTCGTCGTCGTCGCCGTCGTCGTCGTCATCGTTGTCGTCGTCGTCGCCGCCGCCGTCGTCGGCGTCGTCGGCGTCGTCGTCGTCGTCGGCGGCGGCGGCGGGCGCGCACGGGGGGCGGCCGGCCTCGGCCGCGGCAGCGCGCTGGCGGGGCCGCCGGCGGCGCCACCGGGAGGGCCGCCGCGACCTGGGCGCGGGCGCTCCGGCCGCGTGGGTGGGGCCACCTCTAGCCGACCCTACGTCTGTAGCCCGCTATTGGGCGAGCCAGGACGCTGCGCCACTGCTCGGAGCGAGCCGCCCACGCGCGCGCCTGGACGGCGGGCCTGTCCGTGGCCGAGGCCGGCGCGGCCACCACCGCCATCGCCGCGGCGCGGCGCGCGGGGGGGGGTCGCGCCGCCCCGCCCCGCCGCGGGGAGGGGCGCTCCCGCCGCTCCGCCAGCGGCATCGGTCGAAGAACCGAGAGCGCCATAAACATAAACTTTTTGGCGCTCCGCGCGGGTTCCTCGGGTCCGCGCCGGGCCCCCCCCGGAGCGGCGCCTCCAGCGCCGCCCTTGGCCAGCCAGCGCCGATCCGAGAAATCCGCGCGGACCGTTGAGTTATTCTGTTTCTGTCATTGCTCGTTCCCGTAGGTTCGCGGCCGCCAGGAGGGCCCTTGAGGACCAGGAAGGCAAGGTGCCAGAGGCAACGGGCCAGCGCCACAGCTGGCAGCGGGACCTTAAGGGAACCATCGGGGGCCACACGACATGGGCACAGTGGAGCAGAAGCTCGATGAGCTCCAGGCCAGTCATGACCGGGTCGCCGTCCGAGTCGCCTCTTTCGCCAAGGGGACGAAGCCCGACGGAGGCGCGCAGCCCACCCTCCCGCTCGCCGCTCGCAGGAAGGGAAAGTTGCAAGTGCGCGTCACTGATCGCGGCAGGATAATGCGGCTTTGGGGGCGGAGGTGATTCGGAGGAGGAGGAGCTCGAGCGGGCGGAGGAGAGGAGGGAACGGCTCGTCGCGGGCCTGCGGGAGGGAGCCAACGCCCTCTTCGCAGGCGCTGCCTCCACAGCCGCCAGGGCCCGAGGGGGGAACAGCACAAAGCGGCAGGCGCGTCTCGCAGCGGAGAGACGGCGCGCGGGGGGAGGGGTTGCCATCCCAGCTGGCTCGGGAAGCTGGGGCCGCGGCCGCCGAGGGATCGGGAGGGGTCCTTCCGATCCCAGGCGCGGCCTCAGCTCGACAAGCCCCGACTCTGGCTGGAGGCGCCCGAGAGGGGAGGGAGCACGACGGGCCACGGGCTGGGGAACGCCTTCCTGACGGAACCCGCGTGGGAACCCGACGAGGAGGCCAAATTTTCGGGCTCAGAGGGTCGGAGGATCATTTTCGATGTTCAGAATATCACGTCATGGAGCAGCGGTGCATTCAACGATGTGAAAGGTGGCGTCAGAGGAGCAGATGTGGTGGCTTTCGCGGAGACCCATTCCGATGATCTGGACCGCACTATTGACCAAATCTATAGACGCGGATGGGAAGGAATTGTGGGCCCATCAAGGGCAAGAGGTGGTATCTTGAGATCAGGTCGTTCAAATATTTGTGTGAGTTGCCAGGCCTGCAGACCGCGCTGGGGATACTGGATGGTAAATGAACAGGTGGAGGCCCAAATTGACTTCTGGGATTTCGCCCCGGTTGCAGTTGAGCTCGCAGGAGGAGTCGATTTCATGTTCGCATCGTTGGATCTTGCCTCAGGGGCCAGACTCAAGGGGGTGAGCGCGGAGAAACTCACAACTCTTGGTGTTCTTTTACGCCTCGCTCAGATGCCTTGGGTTGTGGGTGCAGATAAGAATGTGTCGCCAGAGGTTCTCGCAAGTTCCGCCATGCCAGCGTTGCTGGAAGGTCCAGTCCTCGTCCTAGCTAGTACAACATGGACCTGCAACAGCTCACCCTTCAACGTGCTCGATCGTGTTCTGGTCTATGATGCAGCTTCGGGGTTGAACTTCGAATGCGCGGCGGATGATGCCAGTGGTGATCGCAAAGACATTTGGTTCAAGGTTCAGGGGGATACGAGACTGGCAGAGATACGTGTCCGACTTCAGGCCCGAAGGTTTCTGCACCCTCCGACGCCCAAGAAGGGGCCGTTCCCTACCGGTAAGAGATCGAGGCGGGAGGCGCAGAGGAGCCCGAGGTGAGGAAACGTCAGGCGGAACGCTCGCCCGCCCTGCCGAAACGTCCCGAGTCTGTAGAAGGGAGAGGGTGGTGATGATGATCATGATGATGCTGCTGATGATGATGCTGATGACGATGACGATGATGATGATGAGGAGGAGGAGGAGGAGGAGGAGGAGGAGGAGGAGGAGGAAGAGGAGGAGGGCGCGGAGGAGGAGGAGGAGGAGGAGGAGGGCGCGGAGGAGGAGGAGGAGGAGGAGGAGGAGGAGGAGGAGGAGGAGGAGGAGGAGGGCGCGGAGGAGGAGGAGGAGGAGGAGGACGAGGAGGGCGGGGCCAGAAATGGGAGGACTCGTTTCAGGGCGCTCCAGAACGCTGTCAGAGCGATCCGAAGCGCTCTAGACCAACCGCGGCGTCCGATACATCTTCCCGAACTATCAGGCTTCGGAGATGCCCGAATTGTCCTGGTGCGATTTGCCTTGATCTTGGCTTCGTCTTGAGATGGAGAGGAGGAGGAGGAGGAGGAGGAGGAGGAGGAGGAGGAGGAGGAGCTCGAGGTGAGGACGCTCGCCCGCCCTGCCGAAACGTCCCGAGTTCTGTAGAAGCGAGGGGGTGGTGATGCTGATGATGATGATGATGCTGATGATGATGATGACGATGACGATGACGATGACGATGATAATGATGCTGATGATGATGATGATGCTGCTGCTGCTGCTGCTGATGATGATGATGATGATGATGGTGGTGGTGGTGGTGGTGGTGGTGATGATGATGATGATGATGATGGTGATGATGATGATGATGATGATGATGATGATGACGATGATGATGATGATGATGATGATGATGATGATGATGATGATGCTGATGATGATGATGATGATGATGATGATGATGATGGATGATGATGATGATGGATGATGAGGAGGAGGAGGAGGAGGAGGAGGAGGAAGAGGAGGGCGCGGAGGAGGAGGAGGAGGACGCGGAGGAGAAGGAGGAGAAGGAGGAGAAGGAGGAGGAGGAGAAGAGGAGGAGGAGGAGAGGGACGCGGAGGAGGAGATGGGAATCGTGAGGAGGGAGGTGCAAGGCGAGGGCGCGATTAGGCCAGCGCGGGGGGGGCCTTCCAGGCAGCAGCGACCCCGAGGGGGGTCTGCTGCAGGACGTGTCCGGCTCGGTGGTCCTGATCTGGCTCCTCATCGTGGCAGGCGGCAGGGGGCCCTCCCCGTCGTTCTCCTCCTCCTCCTCCTCCTCCTCCTCCTCCTCCTCCTGCCTCCTCCTCTTCCTCCTCCTCCTCTTCCTCCTCCTCCTCCTCCTTCCACCTCCTCCTCCTCCTGCCTCCTCCTCCTGCCTCCCCCGCCCCCAAAACTCAAAAATTGCATGCGCACCAGACCCACCGCCAACTTTGAACATTGTGGGGAGAGGCAGGCGTTGACAGATGAATGTGGCACGAGTGTTCTCTATTTTTTGTCCGAGGCCTGACCCCAGGCAGGCCACTGCCAACGCAGGGCCTGCACTCCTATCTTCGCAGAAGCACACGATGCCCTGCACGGCTCGCTCGCTGCGCCGCCGCTGCTCGGACACTCGCCTCCAGCGCGCTCATCCCTCTAAACCTTGTCCTCCTCTTCCGCCTCCTCTTCCTCCTCCTCCTCCTCCTCCTCCTCCTCCTCCTCCTCCTCCTCCTCCTCCTCCCTCTCCTCGTCCTCATCATCCTCCTGCTCCTCCTTCTTTTCCTCCCCCATTCTCGTCTGCGTCCCCTTTTCTTCCCCGTCGTCTTCTTCTTCTTCGTCGTCATGCTCCTCCTTTCTCCTTGTCGCGGTCACCGCTCCTCACTGCTGATCCTTCTCGTCCTCCTTTCTGGGGGGCGAGGAGGCGGAAGAGGAAGAAGGTATTGCGAAATTGCTGATGGTGCTGAGGACGAGTAGAAGGTCGTCCCTCTCCTCCTCCTCCTCCTCCTCCTCCTCCTCCTCCTCCTCCTCCTCCTCCTGCTCCTCCTCCTCTTGCTCCTCCTCCTCCTCATCCTCCTCCTCGTCCCACCCAGTAGCCCTCGCAGTTGTCGTCCTCCTCATCGCCATCTTCGTCGTTCCCCGTCATCCTCGGCGTCTCCCTCGCTCGTCGTGTTCGTTGCCATCTTCTTTGCGAAAGCCTTCGTCTGCCTCGTCGCCGCCCTCCCTCTCCGAACCTGGCGCTCTCGTCATCCTCGTCTCAGGCTGGTCGCGCTCGGTGCCAGAGGACACTGTCTTTTGTCAGGCCTGCTGGCGGGCCCAGGGAGCCCCGACCAAGCCTCCGCCGCCCCGGGCCGCTGGGGCTGCAGTGCGGACAGGTCGTCATTGTCGCCACCTGGAGGGTGAATGAAAAAGATCGTCCTCCTCGTCAGTGGTCGTCCTCCTCCTCCTCCTCCTCCTCCTTTTCCTCCTCCTCCTCTTCCTTCTCCTCCTCCTCCTCCTCCTCCTCCTCCTCGTTGGTCCTCGCTTCCATCCTTGTCCTCCTCGCCCTCCTTGCCCTCCTCGCTCTTCGTCTGGCAGCCCCAGCCCTTTCTCCCTGCAGCGAAGGGAATCAGGAGGGAATCATAGACACAGGCACATCGACGTCGACTCCCATGACAAAGTATGGGAACCGATGGAAGTTAGAGGGGAATACGAAAACTCAGAACATATGGAACAACTATGGATGATGCTGGAATGTGTGTCTATTTGTTTGTATGTCTCTGGGCCCCTTCCAAGCTGTCTTCCTCGCCGCCGCCGCCGCCGCCTCCCGTCGCAGCCGATGCCGTCGTCGAGTGGCCCTGTCGTTTCTGCGACCTTCCAGGTCAGGACATTCCTCCCCCCCCACCGCGGCGAAGGTTGCGACGATGGGTTTTTGCGTCATTCTCGGCCTTCGTGAAACCATCTGCCCGAGAAATTGAGCACTGGAAGTGGTCCAGTTCTCTGGGGTAGGGCGGGTGGGAATGGGGGGTGACCCACATGGGGGGTCAAGAACAGGGCCCCAAATGGGGCACTTCAGGGCCCCTTTGGGGCCCCTGGTGGCTCCCAGAGGGGCCCTACAGTGCTTCTTTGGGGCGAGAGTGCGAGCCTTCTGGATCAAGTTGGTGCAGGAAGCTGTACGTGATGATAGGCGTGCGGGCGAGTTTCACCTTCCTGATTACAGCTCGCCCTGGACTAGCCGACAGCCATCTTTGGCACCTGCTGCTGCAGCTCCTATGAGAGATGAATCAGAGGCAGACGACAACTGGATGACGGTCACCAGCAGATCGAGATCACAGAGGGCATCTACGAGTGGGTCATGCAGCCTACGCCCTATGAAGGACGAGACTGCCCCGCGGCGCGTGTCCTCTGCTGATCCGTGCATGCCCGCGGCTCTCAGCTCAGTGACCCCGTGCGGTGGTATCGCTGGAGGGCCGATGGCGCCGAGTACTGCAACTACGACCAGTGATGTCTCTGCCCCTGGTAGAGGGCCTACGGGTACTACTTCGGCGACCGCGACGACTGCGTCAGCCTCGAGGCCACGTGAGGATCCAAGTAATCCTGGCAGAACGCAGCCCAGGAAGCAGCGAGCTTCAGCGAGACAGAATCTCATTGACAGATTGGCTCGCTCGCTAGTGGACACAGATCGCTTTTTGCTCAAGATAGTGGGGCAGCAGAACCACATGATGAGTCACCTGGATGAGGAGACTCAGAATTTCTTCCTAGATGGCATCGCCTTGCTAGGAAGGGACGACTTCGAGCAGCAGATATACCGCATCGTCGAGCGTGCTGATGAAGTTCACCCAGAGCATAAAATGAAGGTGGAGGACAGCTGGAAGTCTTGGATCGACATGGCATTCAAGAAAGGTGCAGGCCCTGCGCATCGCACGTCTAAGGTCAAGGCTTTGGAGGCAGCAGTGGCGCACACCGACAGAATGCAGCCGTACCAGATGGCCGACAGGGAAATGGATGTCTGGCATGAGGTATGGTCCTGTCACGGACAGCGTGAGCCAGTATTGCCTAGTGATGCGCATACATGGGTGAATATTCCTCCTCTTCGGCCAGAAGACTTGTCCAGGGCAGCTCTCACGTTCACGTGGACGACGGCCACTGGGCCGACGAGGCTGCACCCTCGTGCCTTTTTCTTCCTCTCTGATGCTGGCTTGTTGGCGCTCTGCACACTGTACCACACATGCGAGCGGATGCTGTACTGGCCGACATAGAGAATAGTCAATGAGATGGTTAGGCTTGCCAAGCCCGATGGAGGCACGCGGCTGATCACTTTAGTAGAGAGCTTAGTACGTTTGTGGGCGCGAGCAAGGCGCCCGATTTCAAGAACATGGATTGTCCAGCATGGGAGCCCGTTCATTTGGGGCAATAGGAGGGGACGCTGTTCCAGTTATTCCGCGTTTGCGCACAACCTAGAGGCGGAGATTGCTGCTTCTCTGGGAGAGAGTTCAGTCACGGTGTTTCTCGATATGTGGAAATGTTTCGAGACAGTGCTGTTCCCTGCATTGCTTGATGAAGCCAGGTGCCTGGGGTTCCCGCTTCGTTTGTTATGGATGCTAATCAACTCGTATTCCCAGCCAAGAGTTATAAAGGCGTTTGGATGTTGGAGCAAGCAGGTGGTGGTGTACCAGGGCATCCTCGCGGGCTGCACCCACGCCACCACCCTCCTCACCATCCTCACCTACAGGGCCCTCATGAAGGTGCACCAGATCGCCCCCAACGTGACCCCGAGAGCGCTCGTGGATGACAGCACGTTCCAATGGGTTGGGCCGTCGGGGACTTCTTCGGCTGAGTTGTTCTTGGGGGCCCAGAGTTTCGCCGAGGATTCGGCCAAGTTGGGGCTCCTGCTGCAGGTCAAGAAATCGGGCTGGGTCTCCAACACTAGGAAGGGGCACCAGGGGTTCCGCAAGTTGGCCTCAAGGATCAACCTCAAAAGCAAGAAGTGGGTCCGAAATCTTGGGCATGAACTTAGTGGGCCAGTTCCTGTGAGGAAACAAGCTAAGGCTAGGATGAAGGGCTTGCAGGACAGGCTCCCAAGGCTTATTATGCTCCAGAAGGCGGCTGGCAACAGAGTCACCGCGATCTGGAGAACAGGGCTCCTTCCAGCTGCTGCGCACGGCGCGACTGTATCAGGAGTCAGTGACCAAGAGCTTGCCCGTTTACGCTCTGTTGCTGGCATGTTATGTGGCCGTTCGACGGCAGTTTCTTCTCTCACTGTATATCTGGCTACGCAGGCAGACGCCAAGTACGATCCAATATACAATGCCACCATGGATCCCCTGAAGGCCTACTGCAGCCTCGTCTGGGACAACAGAGTTTGCCTTGGGAGACTGCAGAGGGCATGGATGAAGGTGGATGAGGGGCTCAAGATTAAGGCCTCTTGGACCTCGGCAAGGGGGCCCATTGCTGTTGTATGGATGTCTTTGAGGAGAATAGGATGGGGCATGTATTCCGCCACGGGGATCTACAGCGACCTAGGTCACACATTTGACCTCCTTCAGCTCTGTCCCAAGGACGTGCCGGAGTTGGTCAGGCAAGGCATCGAGCGATGGCAAGGCATGCGAATACTTACACATCACAAGGAGGTATGCTATGGGGATGAGGTCATATGGATGAGAGCTACGAGGAGATGTATTGGTGCTAAGAAGGCTGTGGTCAGGCACCCACGATTTGCAGGCGCGCTTCGTGCACTGTGGTCCGACTCTATTTGGTCACGTTCCAGACTGGCTGCCAAAGGGTGCCAGATCCCCCCTGCCTGCATCTACTGCGCAGCGGAGCAATCGACCATTGGACGCGAGTTCTTTTGCTGTCCTAGTTTTTATGATGACCTGCCTGAGGAGCCCGATCTCGACTGGAACACTGATATGCAGTACACATATGATATGCTAAGGGAGATCGGACAGAAGGCCCTTGGAGAGCCCGACTGGGATTGTCTTGCCACGGCAGTAGGCATACCTGTGAGCCCTCTCATCCCTCCGTATGTGGAGTTCAAGTTGCAGTACGTCTGCTGGGGCGACTGGGAGTCTGACAGAAGTTCCTGGAGCTCTATGGTTTTCTCAGATGGTTCGGGGCTGGCCCCTGCGTGGCCTGAGATTCGTCGATGTGGGTGGTCTTTCGTCGTCATGGGGGACAACGGGCTACCTGTTCGTGCTGCATATGGGCCCCATCGAGGGTCCGATACAAACGGTCGGGAGATCGGAACGAATGGCGTTCCTCATGGCACTCAGACTTTTACCTGCTCTGGACCTACTGGTGACAGATCTCCAGAGCCTGGCAGCTGAAGTGAACTCCTGGCACCACGACCAGGAAGATGCGAATTCGACATACGCAGACATCTGGAGGCACATCTTTCATGCAGCTGACGACAAGCGTCGGCCCAGAGCTTGCTGGACGCCTGCGCACATCACGATCGAGAGTTACCTGGAGGTACACTTCGGCACCCTCCCGTTTGAATTTCTGCTCGGAAACATGTGGGCGGACTTTTTCGCAAGGGAGGGGGCCAACATGCACGCTGTGCACAAATCGACGGTCCAAATGCTCGAGGCCAGGCTGAGACAAGAGAAGTTGAATGCTAAGTTCTTCTCCTGGGCGGCAGCTAAGCTCATCACCAGGGACTCCACCAGCAGTAGACCCGAGAGGCTCAAGTTAGGTGGCCCCCCGATTCCTGTACAGCATGTAGGATTGCGTGTGCATGATGTGGTCATCCGCAGTCCTGGGGTCTGGCAGTGCAAGACCTGTTTGGCCACGGCTCGGACCCCAGCCAGTTTGTTGAAACTCGTGGCGGGTACCAGTAATTATGCTAAGTGTGATCCCACGGAGCAACAAAAGCTCCAGGCTCGCAACGATGTTGTATTGCAGCGTGCATTGCCTTACAGGAGTGAGGCGGTCAACGTTGCGCTAGGACTAGCGCAGGAGCTCAGCCCACCCGAAGACCCTGTCGTTCCTGGTCCGTCGGGGGCTCAGCAGCCTCATTGTAGAGTTAGATGGCCACCGAATTCTCTCGAATCTTGGTGCTATGGTTTGCACATTGTGTGGGTCGTACCAGCTTAATGCTGGGCGAGCGGGGCACTCGAAGCTTGGAGGCTGCTGTCTGGGCCCTTCTCAGCACCCCCCCACACTGCATAAGCAGCGGCATGCTATTAAGGCCATCAAGGCGGGTAAGAACCCCAAGAATGGCCAGCATATCAAACTGTTTTGATGAGTTTCTTTGGCCCGCTCGGTTTTCCGTCACTTTTTCCTTGGGAATCCACGGTAAACGAGCTGGGCCCACATGATTGGCCCATGCTCCCGTAGTTGGTTGCATGACAGGTCATCCGAGGCGTCCTCCTCCTCCTCCTCCTCCTCCTCCTCCTCCTCCCCCCTCATCCCTCCCTCCCTACCTCCCTCCCTCCCCTCCCTCCCTCCCTCCCTCCCTCCTCCTCCTCCTCCTCCTCCTCCTCCTCCTCGTCCTCCTCCTCCTCCTCCTCCTCCTCATCCTCCTCCTCCTCCCATGTCGGTCACACCCCATAACCACCCGCCCGATGGGGGCCCACGGTGCGAACGAAACACGACGTCGGGAATCTGGGGATGCCCTGGAGCCCTGGACTTCTCCTTGGCTCCCTGCCAGCCAGAATCTCAGGGGCGGGTCCGGCCGTGGTGACAACGAGCGCCCTGGGAGGCCTCAGGAGGCCCCCCCTCTGACAAAGCGTCCGAGCAACCCGATTCTCCATCTCTGATCGATCGATCTGCTTTTGCCGAGAGTCAATCAGGATCGGTCCCGGGTCGCCCCCTCCTGGGCCCCGCGCGGTACTGGCCAGCTTTGCATGCCGGATCGATGTCTGACGGCGCCGGGGCCGGAAGCGGCGCCCCCAGATGCCACACCAAGCCGAAAGCCCGAGTCGCCGAACGATCACTCGCCCGCTCCCTAGGCTTAAGTCGGGCGTGTCCCTCTACAGGAGGAGCATTCAAAAATAGTTGAAGCACAGTCTGGGGATGATTTTTCTATTATGTTTCCCCATATCCTAAGATGGGGTTTTTGTTAGTACTTGGACGCCTCCTACTCCCTCTTCTTCTCCTCCCCTCCTTCCGGACTTACTCATACTCAGACTTACTCATACCCAGACTTACTCATATACAGACTCGTACTCAGACCTACTCATACTCATACTTACTCATACCCAGACGTGCACATAACACAGACTTACTCATACACAGACTTCCTCATACCCATACTGACTCATACCCAGACGTGCTCATACACAGACTTGCTCATACACAGACTTACTCATACTCAGACCTTCCCATAGTCAGACTTACTCATACGCAGACTTATTCAACACACAGAAGATTCGGAGGATGTCTCAGGCGTGGCGCTGGTTCCAGCACCCCTAAGGGGAGCCGCCAGGGGTGTTTTCACCGGCCCGTTCGCGGCCAGTTTGTGGGGATGTCTCAGGCGGTTTAGCTGTTTTGGTGGGGAGACTCGTCTGTCAGAGCAGTTTGTGAGGATGTCTCAGGCAGGGCGGTGGTTTCAGCACCCCTACTAAGGGGCGCCGCCATGGGCGTTTCCACCGGCCCGTTCGCGGCCAGTTTGTGGGGATGTCTCAGGCGGTTTGGCTGTTTTGGTGGGCTGACTCGTTTGCGTTTTGTGCAGTTTGTGAGGATGTCTCAGGCGGGGCGCTGGTTTCAGCACCCCTGATGGGGAGCCGCCAGGGGTGTTATCACGAGCCCGTTCGCGGCCAGTTTGTGGGGATGTCTCAGGCGGTTTGGCTGTTGTCATGACCAACATCCTTGGCTTTCAGATCAGATTTTGAGGATGTCTCAGGCAGGGCGGTGGTTTCAGCACCCCCAAAGGGAGCCGCCAGGGGTGTTTTCACGGGCCCGTTCGCGGCCAGCTTGTGGGGATGTCTCAAGCGGTTTGTCCGTTGTCATGCCCGACGCCCTTGGCAAACAGAGCAGATTTTGAGGATGTCTGAGGCGGGGCGCTTGTTTTCGCACCCCTAAGGGGAGCCGCCAGGGGTGTTTTCACGGGCTCGTTCGCGGCCAGTTTGAAGAGGGGGAATGAATGGGAGGCTCATGTTCAATCATATTCAAAGTTCACCATGGTTCATTCTAAATCGCTCGCATTCGGACTCACTCGTCTTCGTCGGCCTTGTCGCCCACGTGGGCGCGTTATTATAGTCAAGCGTTCATGAACAGACGCTCACTATGGCATGACATCAAACATCAGATGCGCATTTGGGGAACTCCACGCAGTGAGTTTGTGACTGGTTTCGATTGTTCTGGCAAGTCCTCCTGTAGGAGAACATGCCCGACCTAACCCTAGACATCCAGCTGCCTCAATGTTTGTCGACGCATGGGCTCTGGAGGTCCGGGGGCCACTTCCCCAGGGCCAGTTTTTCGTTCCGAGTTGGCTAGTTGGCGCTGCCGAGTTCTGGTGAGGGCCCCCTTTATGCCGAAAACTGTCAAACACCGCCAGGTCCAACTTTTCTATCGCATTATGTGGTGTTGGGTCCTCGTTTTGAAGAGACGGTCCCCGCGTCCCTCTCCTCTCCTGCTCCTCACCCTCCTCCCTCCTCCCTGTATTTGCTTCTGCCCTCCGCATGTTTCTGTTTCGGCACACCCCTCACACGTTTTGTGGCCCCACAAAGGAGCTCCACCGCAAGACCCAGTGGCTACCCTCGCATGACGCCGCCGCACCCATCCCGTGGCCCCATACGAAACTCCACCGAAGGCGCCCTTGGCTGCGCTCGCATGACACCACCTCGCCCATTTCAGCACACCCCATCACACGTTTCGTGGCCCAACGAGGAGCTCCACCGAAGGCTCCAGTGGCGGCGCTCGCATGACACCGCTGTGCCTATGTTGGCACACTCCTCACACGCTTCGTGGCCCCATGGGGACCTCCACCGAAAACCTCAGTGGCTGCGCTCGCATGATACCACCGCACCAATT